CGAATGGCCTAATAAAAATTCACAAAAAGAACAACCCGCGTACTAGTCATTCTACATTTGTCGTAATGTCCTGAATCTTAAGAAGAGAGATCGTTTCGGATAAGCACCTCACTGAAACCCTACGTGCGTACATTTTCATAGGCCGTTGGAATTTTGTACCCACGACGAAACGACATGCAGGTCACATCGAGATCTTTGTGACGGCTGTCACACGGAATTTCGTTACATATAATATGTTCAACATGACACTATTTCGCCAAACCGCAACTTCGGCAGAACTGTACCTACTTCGACAAATTCTATACCACTTCGTCGGAGTAGTATTCTGTCAATATAGCGAGTTTTCGAGACAGTGTGATGTCGAACATATATACATGTTCGACGTGACACTATTGATGCGTCGATGTTCTGTGTGGTACATTTTTGGTATACCTAATCATAATCTATTCTTCATTACTAAAGCAAGACGTGATACCTAAATTTAAATTTAAAAATCTTGTCTCTGTCTTTGAATAAAAACAAAAGCTTTTTAAAGCGTTTAAGCTTTTTTTGAAGGGTAATTTAAACAGGATGGTTCTTGGCTATGTTTAATAAACATCGATTTTGGTGTTTCGGAATCATCAGCTCTTTTTCCGGTTAGAATAGGGATCGAAGTCATAAGATTAATATTTAATTTATTTCCAATTGCCCGGTCGACTTGAAATTTGGTATACTATATAAATCCAATAACATTACAATAATACGGTAATTTTGATCATGGTAACCTGGGGGCCTACCACAACTTCTTAGAACAATATTACTTTAACCTAACATTGATGTTTCGTACAATGATGACGCGCTTAAACTAAGCCTATTACAATGTTAAAACTATGATGTTTTATTGGCAGCTTTGTGACTATTCATTCTCTCAATTCGTACTATGACGCGACTTTGACACTAAAGTATATTGTTCTTATGTCAAATTTAGCAATATTCAAAATAGTTACTCGGACACAATGGAAACAATATTATTTTAAAATTTATTGTCTAAACATTGATTGGTAATGATTAAAAGTTAAGTTTACTTTTATTTTTTTAAATAATAGTACGTAGGAAATAATTTCTCGTTAATTAAAAAGACGCGATTGTATTTCGTTAAATCAACAATAATTTCTAATTCAAACGTGACAATCAAGATTCGGTTTGTTTTATTTATTTTTGTTCATGAAAATGCGGAAAAATAATTGAAAACAACGTAATTTTAATAGTTTGATTATTATATACTTTCTTTTCTTGGCAGTTAAAATTATCTGAATGTAAATAATATTAAGTACTTTAACATTATACTACGATAGGTCAATTCTTTATTTATTATTCTTCATGAAAATGCGGAAAAATCATTGAAAACAACGTTCGCTGTGAAATAACTTCGGGACTTTAAATACTAATAATACCTAGTCAACTTTGAGCTTACCATTAGATAAAGAAGAAGAAGACCTTGTTGTCAATTCCCAAAGAAAACCAGGTGAATGGCCATAATATTAACTGCCGCGGTGACCGAACGGTTTCCCTAAAGCGGGGTTATGTTGAATGTGTGCGTTATTATTATTATTATTATTATAAAATGCCATAAATTCCCACAATAAGAAAAAATGGATTAAACATTAGAAGCATCAAAACTTTTCACTATAAATTTACATTTGTTCAAAAGTTGATAAAGTTATATTTATATAAAGAATATATCTACATTTATAGCACTTAATTAAAGGCAGACAAAAGGTTACGAAACCCCTGATGTGTGAAATTAATTACATAATAAAGGGCCTCTTGGATTGGAGCAATAAAATGGAGCCATCGAGAGACGAGGGCCTGGCCATCGTAGTTATAACGCCTTATTCCAATTCCATAATAAACAACTGACGCTCACTGCACACTAACTACAATACTATATTCTGCAGTCCAATTATGGTTCGATCGAGTGTTCGATCTTTGTATTAATAATATTATAACAAACTAGTGGAGTAATTTCACAAAAAATAATTGAATATCAATTCAATAAAAATTTAACAGTGAATAGCGACATCTCTCGCCAGGACTGGTAGCTGTAAAGGTACTAACTGGGTGATAAATCTGTCATAGATTTCTCATAGATGGCGCTACGACTAAAAAGTCGTTGAAAGACCAAGTACAAAGACACGACGCAAGCACATAGAAAAATTCGTGAGGTCCGTTGGTTCGTTCCGTGGCTTAGTTGGTATAGCGTCTGGCACGGTATGCAAGAAGACGTCGGTTCGAATCCGACCGGATCGAAGGAATTTTTTCTATGTGCTTGCTGTAGAATCTTTATATCTGGTTTTTAATGACTTTTTAGTGCTATCTATGAGAAATATATGAAAGTATTTCGTCACCCAGTTAAGCACCTTCACAGTTACCAGCCCTAGTTATAGATGTCGCTATTTACTGTAATTAAGTGTTTTATTGAATGTCAGAATATTTCACCACCATGATATTCAATTATTTCCTTGTGGAATCACTCCACTAGTTTGTTCTAATTATTAATACATCGAAATGAAATTGGATAATCATTAATTCATCATCTACCGTAAAATGGCATAGCTCCCAGGTTTTGATTGTAGAAAATAGTCTGTATTTTTATCTGTATTAAAAATTATCTCGATTGAAACAATGGCAATTTGGTTAAGTGTTGCTGCAGAAAATGCTCGTAAATAATTAGACAACAAAAGCTTATAGCACGACGATGCTTTGACTTGCTGCCACACACCAAAATAAATGATAGTGTGTTAAAATTACATTGTATACGCCTATAATATTTTATAAGTTTATTTAATGCTATCATCTATCTGAAATAAGTACAGCAGACAATAAATTGCTGAAATAAGTACAACATTCAATAAAAAAACACACAGGAATAAATCATTGCAAAAATCAGTACATTATTAGCAGAAGTATTCTCTGAGCTGAACCACACCATGTTGAATAATTTATTCATCAGGGATGGGTAATTTCAAAGTTGTTTGTCGTATACCCAAACGACCATGATTTATTGTTGTTGGTCCTTATAAAATGTTATCAATTTTGTCATTGCTCCAAAATAATACACGCCCGTATTTGTATGCCTAAATAAAATGTACAGCCGAGAATTGTAATGTTCTACACTTTATGTCTTAGATTAAATGGGTTTGAGTGTTGTTATTTTAATTAATGAAAACTTAACGGATTGTATTTTATTATGTCATAATTAACATTGTGTATCTTATGCTACAAGATAATTTATTAAATATCGATGTAATGAAAATGTGGAAGACAAAGGGAGAAGTGGACAAGTTTATCATCATCGTCATATACAGCCTGACTTCACCCACTGTTGGGTAAAGACCTCCTTTTACCATTCCCCACGATCTCGTGCTAATCTCATCCAGGTTCGCCACCCAATTCCTGCGCTGTCATCTGCCCATCTTGTCGCTGGACGCACGACGTTCCTGTGTCCAGTCCTTGGACGCCACTCAGTTGTCGCATTACTCCATCTGTCATCTTGTGTCCATATCAGGTACCCAGCCCAGCTCCACTTTAGCTTCGTGATACGGTTCCCCACGTCCTTTAGCTTTGTTCAACTTCGAATCTGGACATTGGGAACACGGTCTATAAGCTTGATACCGAGCATGACACGCTCCATGGCTCTCTGTGCAACCTCATCCTATATACAGCTTCCTGCGTGAGCGTCCATGTCTCGGCACCGTAGGTCATAGTAGGCAGAACACACTAATTATATAGATGGGTCTTTGGACATTGTGGAATTTTAGCTGACTAAGAATGTCGTCCAACTTGCCGCGCGGCCCACCCAAGCTGAATTCTTCTGTTGATCTCCTTCATTTGACGCTCCTTGCCAAAAGATAAAATATGTCCGAGATAAACGTATTAATCGACAATCTCCAACATCTCACTTCCAACTGTGACATTTGGATTTGTGACCTTGGAGATGTTCGCTATAACCTTAGTCTTGGACATATTCACCTTAACGCCCACCCACATAGAAGCATCATACAGTTGTTGCAGCATACGGTGGAGATCGTTAAAGTTTTCAGAGAAGAGTACTAGGTCGTCTGCAAACCGTAAGTGGGACAGGAAGACTCCATTGATGTTAACGCCACATTTCGTCCAATCACGTGTTTTTACTACATCTTCTAGGACAGCAGTAAACAGTTTTGGCGAAATGTCTCCCTGCCGCACTCCTCTTTTGATTGGTACAAGGTTGGCTAGTTCATGCATTTGAACCTGTAGAGTTGCAGATGAGTACAGTTCCCGAAGTACATCTATGTAGCGAGAGTCGATGTTACAGCGTGGACAAGTTACTTTGACATAAAACATGAGTATAAAACATGATAAAATTCGCATTGTAGGATGAAATGGAAGCATTAACACAAATTTAAATTAAGTAATTGAATTTTCAGAATTTAGTCTAAACAATCCATAATACTGAACGAAGATGTAGTAGATAAATGAGACAAATTTAATACGCTTGCATTTAATATTATCAATATTGATGGTTATTTGGTTAGACGTTAGTTGGGGAGCTAGCTCAACTTTTATCCTCTGAGTATAAAATTAAATAACTTTTGAAACTCCAGTAATATTATACGAGTTGCTGACTGGATGAAATTAAACTTCCATTCAACATTTTTTTCCAAAATGTTTTCCAAAGTATTCCAATAAGGCTATAGAAAGAAGTTTATCCCGAATTAATTTTTTGTCGACGTAGGTAGGGGAGTTTAGTTCGAGCTTAGGGTAGTACAGGAAAACGAAAGTATTTAATTCTTTAAATCAATCAGAATCAACAATCAATCTAACTTTTATATAAAGATTATTTTAACACTAGAGTACCCGCGCGTGCTACAATGGTATATCGCCCTCGCACTTTTTCAAATATGTCTTTGTCTATGACGCTGACTCTTTCTTTCATTCCCGAATAAGGATAACGACACTTGACGCTGTCTTACTCAGTTGGCCTGCAACGCCCAGCGCATGCAGTTGTTACAGTTATTTCCCGCCGAAAGTTGTGTGCTACAATCGTAGCACACGCGATTAAAAATCGACAATATGAATCGAGTGAGTATTTTTTTAAATTTATATATTTTTTAAAGTTCTCTTTTGTTTTCGAAATATTTTTTCATGCATCTATTGTAGTAATAAGGGAAATTATATGATTTTAAATTAAGTTTTTTTTTATATTACAATACTATCGAAAAAACGTCGCTGTTGCCGATGTTTCAGAATAAAATATGTTTTTTTTAGGGATGCCTTTCAGTCACGGATAAGGACTTTGAGGACTTAATCAACAAATGGCTTCATGAAGTTGAAGTAGAAGATAGCAATTTTGATGACGAAGAAGCAGTTGGAAGTGGTTCTGAGGCCGAACAAGAGGAAGAAATGGTACCAGAAAACGTCCAACCTGATTTACCTGAATATGACGCCGAGACGCTTACCTCTTCAGATGACGATATTCCTTTGTCGCATTTAAGATCACGTAACGCTGGTGAGTTTTACCATTCCATTAATAACACGAAATGGAGTAAAACACCGCTTCCACACATCAGAAGACAAGCCCAAGACATAAATATTCGTATACCTAGCGCTAGAGGCGCTGCACGTGAAGCTGATACTCCTCTCCGTTGCTTTGAGCTGTATTTTGATGATAGTATATTTACACTTTTGGTAGAAAATACCAACAAATATATTGAAGGGATAAAAGCCAAGTTTGAAAGAGAACGTGATGCTAGATCTACTGACCTCCTTGAGATTCGAGCGTTTGTTGGAATGTTAGTTATGATCGGCGTCAGTAAAGGAGGCAGAAGAAATCTAAAAGACTTTTGGGACAATTCTAAGGGAACGGGTGTCGAATGTATTTATTGTATGCTTTCCCAAAACAGATTCAGATTTTTGCTTCGATGTCTGCGATTTGATGACAGCTCAACGCGGATTATTCGTCGTGAACAGGATAGATTGGCACCCGTCAGACATTTTGTTGAACATTTTATTGGCAATTGTCGCAAATATTATTTACCGAGTGAAATGCTAACACTAGATGAACAATTAGTAGGATTTCGTGGACGCTGTGGTTTCATTGTTTATATTCCCATAAAGCCCGATAAATTTGGTATAAAAATATATATGTTAGCTGATACGAAATATCCTTATATATACAACTTTGAAATTTATGCTGGCAAACAGCCTGAAGGACCGTTCAACCTTTCCAATAAAGTAGTAGACGTTACAAAAAGACTTATATCACCTATATTTGATTACAAATGTAACGTCACAATGGATAACTATTTTACAAATCTTAATACCAGTTTGGAATTGCTTTCCAAAAAAATAACAACCGTGGGAACAATGAAAGCAAATCGTCCTGAAATCCCCGCAGTATTCAAAGCCAATCGTTCCCGTAGAACTAATAGCAGCATTTTTGGTTTTCAAAAAGACGCAACCCTCGTAAGTTATGTTCCAAAGCCTTCTAAGTCTGTTATACTTTTATCCACAAAACATCACAATGACGCAATTGATGTGGACACCGGAGAAAAGAGAAAACCCGAAATCGTGACATTTTATAACAATACTAAGTGGGGAGTAGATATTGTAGACAAAATGTGCAAGCAATATAGTGTTATGAGAAATTCCCGTAGATGGCCTCTCACGTTATTCTTTAACATGACAAACATTGCTGGGATAAATGCATTAGTCATAAACCAGATCAACTCTTTTCCCCAGAAAATAGTCAGAAGAGAGTTTCTTTCTACAGTGGCTTTTGACCTTATGAAACCATATATGCTATGCAGAATGAGTATAACACACATTCCAAAAAGTATTCGCACCAGGATAGGACTACTTCTGAACATCCCAGAAGATCCAATAATTCCTGAAACCGACAAAAGAGGAAGAGTGGGACATTGTTACGCCTGTGGAAGGTCCAAAAATAAGTCCACTAGAAAATGGTGTAAGCGATGTAATAAATGGGCATGCAATGCTCATCTAGTTAATATATGTCTCACCTGCCATGAAACTAATTCAAACAATTGATAGTTTTTTACATTTTTCAGGACCTAATGTCAACTATTGTGATTTTTTGTGATTTTTTAGTATATTTTAAATGATTAAGAAATTATTACTTATTGAAACTTAAAGGCTGATTTACGACTGATTTTGTATTTGATATTAAACGAATATTAAACATTAAAAACAGTTTTTTATTTATAATATTTATTTCAGAAGATATATAAGTCTGAAAATGTGCTACAATTGTATATCACGCGAGCAATCAGTGGTCAAAAACAGCGCGGGTACTGTAGTGTTAATCTCCATCTTTATTCAGGATTTTTTCCCTTAAAATCTCGTTAACTACAAGTTTCCGGGAAAGGCTGCTTAGTTAAAACACTAAAAAGTTTTAGTGTGCTCCCAAGAAAATCTCAAGTTGTTAGTTAAATTCAAATTGAGAAACTTTGTAAATTTATGTCTACAGTTTTAAGACACCTATTATGTCTTTGCTACACGCGTTGGACAAGCTTTTTCTTTGCCTTGGGATAACGGTAAATGGGCAGAAGGTAACCATATTATAGTAAGATGTATAATTTTTTTTTAATTGGTGACTGATTAAAGTTTGTTCTATTATACCATAGCTCCTGTACATTACATGCTCGTAAAAAACTAGTACATTGGTTGCACTTTCTTTACCCGTTAATGCTTATTCGAATTTAATCACGCTTACGCCGCGCGGTCGCCACGTGCATATAACTGTCATGGCAAAATATGCTCTATTTATTTAGCTTTTACATTTTAATTTAAATGAGGCGGGCTGGCGAGACTGGCTTGCTTTTGGTCTACGCGGCGGAGTCGTATTATTCCGAGGAATTTAAGTGTTGTTGTCTAGTAAATATAATTCAGATTCGCCATTAATGTACGTGAAAGCGTGGTAACTGGGCGGTCACCGCGAGACGGCCGCATGAAAACTTTCGCGTCGTGTAACTCGGCGCTTAGACTTACCTAAGACTTAGAAATATATAATTATCTGGGCTAACATTATAGAGATTTTTGCCAATATTTTGAAAACCAGGATCCTGAGTCTACGTAACCAAGAAAAGAGAAGAATTTCAAAAAATCATCAAGTTATCCAATGTCCCACACATTCCCTTTTTTTTTAAACCTTTGTATTGTAGCTTGGGGTCGACTTTTCCCTTTTATGGATTTTTTGCGTTACAAACTAAGAAACTGAATTACACAAGTTTGAAAAAACCCGTCAGCATTTGCGAACTTCGAATCTTATAGAAAGACTCTGCGTAAGTTACCGTAAGGTGATTGGTTGCTTTTCAATTTGAGCTATACAAATATTTTTATGGACGAAGTTTTGCAATGAATAATCCGCATACGAGATAATTGCATTATGTTTAGAGCATACATCCGTATGATAGTTTTACGCATACGTAAAAATAAATTATGTGTCAAAATTCTTCGTTGAAAATTTAGCTTTACATAATTTACATTTGTTAAGCTGTGACTGAGTTAGTTTACTATATGGTGTAGGAACTTTAATAACGCACACACTCAACATAGTCCCGCAATAGGGAAACCCTGTGTCGCGGGTGGCATGGACACATACACATAGACAACCAAAAATTACACCCAAACTCACGAGAGAAATATATGTAGGCCATATAAATATTTCTCCCGGCACGGAAATCGAACCTGGGACCTCTGCGTGGCAGTCCGGTAATGGTAATGGTAATGGTAACCGTTTGGCCACAGCGGCAATAAGTTTGCTGGGTCATTTGTGACTAGACAATTTCAAATCTTTTTAACCGACTTCAAATAAAGAGCACGAGGTTTCTCAATTTGCCTGTATGTTTTTTTTATTGTATGTATGTTACGCGACAACTCCGGCAAAAAAAAATATGAACAGATTTTGATGATTCTTTTTTTATTGGATAGAGGGTACCTCAGTAGTAGTCCCATTTAAATTTAAAGAAACTGAATGAATCCGGTTTCGCACAATTTCCGGTAACCGATTTCTGTAAAACTTGGCGAATAGATGTAAGTCCACAAACTTTTGAAGTCGATTTTTTTATTACTGAAATTATTAAAGATATGTCCCAACCTGTATTGGGTTAGCGTGGTAGACTAAAAAAGATCCTTTTATAAAGCAACTTAAATGTTTAGTAGATGTAGATGTAGTGTGTCTTTGTGAAAGAGTTCATCCAAGCAGTAATGTAACCATTCCCGTTTTGAAGGGTAAGGTTGTTGGCAGTCAGATCTTTGCGATTTAAAGCTCCGAGTGGCACTGCAACTGTTACGGACAAGCGTGTCGCTTACCACCAGGTGCACGACTTGTTCATCTCATCACTTGGTATTATAAAAAAAGTAGAAACTGTACTAGGATTAGCCCCTCAGGTCTTTGTGTTTTAAAGCTTAGAGTGGCACTGCAACTATTATGGACAGGCGTGTCGCTTTCCACCAGGCGCACCACTTGTTCGACCCATCACTTGGTATTATAAAAAAATCAAATATAAATTTTCTCTCGATGAGAGGTGGCGGTCATTGTAGTTACAGAATTTTCATTATTTATTCAGTAGCTACTATTTTTAAATCTAGCTCGTTTTAATAATGTTAAGTACATAAAGCTTAGTCGAAAACAATAAAAATTCAATTGACAATTATCCAACATAAAAACATACCGTGAACTCAAAACCGATTTTATCTTAAAGGTCTCCGGCAAGTGGGCCTTCATTCTTAAAAATCTCGTTAAACAAAAGTACTTTTTAATTTATTAGCATAATGGGTTCTTCACTAAGCTAGTTAATTAGTCCCTTATCTGCTTTGAATTCATGTAATTTTAGTACAAAAGTTTTCATTATAAAGGTATCCATTTAAACATTTTTTGAAGTATCCCTCAGTGCCTGAAACAGATTATAAGAATAATTCAATATTTAATAGGCAGTTTGTTTCTTACATCAATTTACAATTGCTGGGTCTACTAGCAAACTATCATCCCACCCCATGTCTAACTGCCATCTTCATAACATTACTTTTGTAGTTGCTGAATTTCGACGAAACAAGAGGTAGAAATGGGACGATACTAATTACGCCCACGGGCGGCACCTCTATATATTCACGGCGGTAGAAATCATGTTGGGTTTTGAAAATATGTATTTATTTACGGTTACGGTAGACGCTTATTTATAATTAAATGTTAGCGTAATTACGTGTAGTTAACGACTGAGTCAAATAAGACAAAATAGATATGAAGTTACGGAGAGCTGCCAAAAGCCTAGAGAAAATGGTGTGCAATCTCTTCAGTACATATATGTATACTTATTATTCATTTAATTTAATGGATTTTATCCGTGTATTTTAGCCGTTGCAGCCTAAGTGCCCAATTACAAGATTTCACGCGGCCGCCGCACGGCGACCGCTCAGTTACCACGACTTCATGTTCATTAATGACGAATTTGAACTCTATTTAGTAGGTAACAATCTTTAAATTTCTCTGAAGAAATCTACCGCGCGGTTGCCGAGCGGAGTCCGCGTTGTCACCGAGCAGCGACAGTGTGCGTCTAACTGTCATGGCAATATACGCTCTATTTATTTAGCAGTTACGTCTTAACTTAAATGAGCGTCTCGGACACGCGGGCGAGCCTAGGTTGAATTTCACCTACGCGGGGCCAGGCTGCGTGACTAATAAATTTTAGTCAGAGGAATTTTAATGTTGTTGCCTAGTGAATAGAATTTAGATTCGCCATTAATGTACACGAAGGCGTAGTAACAGGGCGGTCGCGCGACAACTTTCTTCTCGTGTAACTGGGCGCTAATGGTTTCATCTACCGCCTATCAAGCAGAGGCCGTGGGTTCGAATTCGTGCTCTCACCTCTGAGTTTCTCGGAATTTATGTGCGAAATTTAATTTGAAGAGGGTTTATAACCCTCGGAAAACATGTGAAGTTCCTAACCCTGAGACCTCTCCTGAGAGGAGACCCGCACTCAGCAGTGGGATGTATAAGTGGATTCATGATGAATTAATTTTATCATGTACATACATATTTTGTAATAAGGACTGCAAATGTTTTCAAATACATGTGTTGCAGGTATAGTTCAATATTAGTGTTTTAGGAAACTTCATAGTCTATACATCTTATACTACGAAAGATTTGAATCCGAATCAACACTACCGATACTTTTACAAATTATCTACAAATGGACTAACTTATTTTAAATAATGAGTTGCATCGGCTAGAGTTTACAATGCAGTATCGTTACAATTGCTGGTAACTGTACAACAGGCGCTTAATTTAAAGTGGTGTATACGAGTATGTTATTGAACGTCCTCGTAGTTTTACAAAACGCCGCTGTAACTTTGAAGAATTTATACAATAATTGTAACTTTTATATATAAAAAAACCGGTCTCAAATATTTGTGGAATTACATCTATTTGCCAAGTTTTATTGAATTTGGTTAAAGGAAAATGGCTGAATTCCAATAAATCGGATTGAGCCCTTAGTTTTCCACCCATAGAGGTGGAATATTTTCTTTTAACAGAAGAAGAATCATCGAAATCGGTTCACAAATATTGAAGTAGTCGCGTAACGTACACCCAAAAAGATACATTTGGGTAATTTTCAGCTTGGTTTCCTCTACCTAGTTTCGGTAGTAGTAGTCTATTACCGTGAAATTTAATATTTCACGACAATTCACTAAAAGTAATAATACTTCAGAATACTACACTCGAATATTAAGTAGTACTTCGTGCTAATATTTAAAAATATTTAAACAGTAAAAATTGCCACCGAAAATTAAGTAGACAAGACCAACCTGAAAATTACCCAATTAATTGAGAACCTCCTTGTGTTTTAGAAATCAGTAAAAAATGCTCTACATTTTTGTTTAACAGCGTCCTTCAATGCAGCCAATCTTTTTGTCGCCGATGACTTTTGACACTGTCGTGGCTATGAGGGTTCTTTGATACTACATTTACATTAAGGGCGCATTTATTTGACACGAATTTCATCGTGCTTACGCTCATGCTGACAGGCCGC